TATTTTTATTTTTATTTACTTTTTATTTTTGGCCACAAAACGAGCCTTAATACATTTTAAAAGACTAAGATCATAGACGATATGTTCTCTGACCACAATATAATGTCACTTTTTGACTCTAGTCAATTTTTTTTGCTCTAAAGTCTACTTTATCAGATATTAAATGACTTCTTTTTGGATTAGTGTTTGATGATATATCTTTTTATATCCTTTTTTCCCAACCTTCTTATGTCACTGAACTTGAAGTTTCTTTAAACAGCATATAACAGGGACATTTGCCCCTCACTCTGCCAAGTTCTGACTTTTGATTAGTGCAGTTTGGTAGGTAATTCAATCAATAATGTAATTATTGATATGTCAGGCCTAAGGTCTGCCCTTCTACTGTTTTCTGTTTGTTTTGTCTCATTGTTGCTTTTCTGTTTCTATCTTCTTGTCTTCCTGTGGGTTACTAAAACATTTTTTTAAGATTCCATCTCGATTTACTTAGAGCTACTGAGTATATCTTTTTGTACAGTTTTTGCAGTGGTTGCTCTGGTTATTACAATAAAATCTGTGATTTCTCACTGTCTACTGGCATCAACACATTTAGTACTTGGATCGAAGTGTGGAAATTTCACTTCCATTTAGGTTCCTTTATTTTCCCTACTTTTATCAGATGGTGGTGTAATTTTTGTTTTAATCATCAAATACGATTTATAAAACTTGTGAGGAAAAGGAGAGTCGACTGAACGAGACATATTTCTGCTCTTTCAATTTTTCTTTCTTCCCTCCTGATGCTCCAAGGTTTGTTCTTTTTTACCTTTTCCTGTCTGTTTGAAGCACTTCCAATGCCAGTCTTTAATTGTACGCTTCCTAGCAACTCACTAGCTCTTTTAGTCTCCTTCATCTGAGAATGTCTTTACTTTCCCTTCACTCCTGGAGGGTAGTTTCACTGATACAGAATTCACAGCTGACAGTTCGTTTCTTTCAGTCCTTGAAAAACGTTGTGTCCCTTCCTCATGGCCTCTGTAATTCAGCAGGAGAAACCCACTGTCAATCACGTTGCTGTGCTTCTGTATATAATCCCTCGTTTCTCTCTGGCTGCCTTTAAGATTTTTTCTTTGTCTTTAGTTTTCAAGTTTAATTTTAATATTTCTTGGCATGAATTTTTGGTGCTGTTGTATTTGATCCTTGCTGGAATTCTCTCAACTTGTTGAATCTATAGGTCTGTGTCTTTTGCCAAATTTGGGGAGTTTGGAGGCATTATTTCATCAATAATCTTTAGCCCCTCTCTCTTTTTTTCTCTCTTCCTTGTGCTTCAATGAAACAAATGTTGGTTCTTTTGTTATTTTCCTACAGGTCCCTGTGGTTGTTTATTTTTTTTTAAAGTCTATTTTCTCTCTGTTGCTCAGGTTGAGTCAATGCTATTGATTTGTTATTAAGTTCACTGATTCAGTCCTCCATCATCTCTGCTCTACTATTGAACCCATCTGGTGAGTGTTTAATTTTTGTTATTATACTTCTTAGTTCTGTAATTTCTGTGTGGGTTTTTTTTGCCGTGGTTTTCTATTTTTTTAAATTTATTTAAAGAGAATTTGTATTTGCTTGTTGAAGCATTTTTATGATGGCTGCTTTAAAATCCTTGGCAGATCATTCCAGCGTCTGATTCATCTTGATGTTGGCCTCAGTTGTCTTTCTCATTCATGCTGCAAATTTCTTGGTTCTTGGTATAACAGGTAATTTTCTATTGTTTCCCAGACATGTTAGCTATTATAATAGAAGATTTTAGGTTTTATTTAAATCTTTCATTTTAGCATGTAGTCACCCTGGTTACACTTAGCGAGCAGGTCCTGGCCTGGCTTTGTGGGCTGTGGTCCCACTGACAGTTCAGTCATCAGAGCCTTTCAGTATATTTTCGTCTACTTAGTTTACCTGGTGCCTCTGGTCACCCACTGATCCCTGCTGGTGCTGCCTGAGGGGTAGAATGGGTGTCTCTCAGTGGGGGAGGGGAGTTGCAGGCCCACGCTACGGAGAGGCTTTCCTGACATAGCATTTGTAGTGGTGACTTCCCCTGCCTGTGGGAGACAGAGTGTGCTTCCTAGGTGGGGCTGGGCACTTGTCATGGTGGGATCCTCCCCTGGCTCCCCCAGCAACCCTGGAGGCTTTGGGATGGGAATAAAGTCTCAGATCCAGGGGGACAAAGACATCCTGGGCAGATCACTTGTGGGAGAATCCCTTTTGGTGTCCCCCCACACCCACCCTATCCTAGTCACCTGGGTTGGTGACAGGCTTTCAGCGAGCCCACCTCTGCCTCTTCTGTTGCCTCCAGCCAGACTTCACACTGTGGCCTGATTGCTCAGGAACTTTATGTCCATTTGTGATTCATCTACTTTTCTTGTTTACCAGCGCAACAGTCCTGCTGCCCGAATGTGTCCAGATGTGACCAATCCTTGTGTCATGAAATGTCTCTTTCTGTCACTACCCCAGGTTCCAAGTCCACCTGGAAAACTCCAGTTCATCCCCTGAAACACTAAATACTCCTGATCTGTAAAATTTGAATCCCGAAGAACACTGGTCAGCTCATCCCACCTCCCTGGTGGCCACACAAACCTCTAAGGCAAGACAAAGATGCCACAGAGGTACAGACCTAATGTCCCCCAGCAGGTGGATCCAACGTATCCGTTACACAGCAGATGAATGAACCCCAAATGGGTGGGCCAAGGTGTGCAATATATAAAACATAGATGACCCTGAGTGGGTAGGCCGAGGGGCCCAACATATAATAGATGGATGACCCTGAGTGGGTGGGCCAAGGTGCCCAATATATAAAACATAGATGACCCCGAGTGGGTGTGCCGAGGGGCCCGTTATATAACAGATGGATTACCCCGAGTGGGTGGGGTGAG